ACGCTGCTCTGATTTACAGCAGCGTCGCGCTGCTGTAAATCGGAGATGGGCTGAGAGGGGCGTTGAAGGGGACGTTGTGGTCTGGTTTGGTTTTGGCGGAGGCTATTAGTGTGTTGTGTTGTGGTCTGGTTCCTGATTTGAGAGGGGCGACTACGGCGGTTGTTGGTGGCGGTGGCGGTGAGGGTAAGGTGTTGGTACTTTGATGGTTTTTTATTAACAGTGAATGGGTTGGTGGTTTGGGATGATCGGTGGTGGTTTGGGTGGTTTGTGCAAGGCGGTGGTGATTGTGGGTTTCTGTGCGGTGGTTGGTCATGCTGCGTGCGACGGTGGTGGAGGTGCGACGACTGTGGTGGTGCTGTTGGTGGAGACTGCAACGAAGTGGTGGTCACATGTGTTTTGGCGGTGGTCACAAATGATTTGATCGTGTGTGACCAATAATTTTTTGGTTTGTGACCAGTGAACTAGCTGTGTGACCAGTGAACTAGCGTTGTGACCAGTGAATTAGATAAACGGTGACGAATAAATACTTTGTGACCTAGAAATTATTAATTTGTGACCAATAATTTGATAAATTGTGACCTAAAATATAATATATGTTCAATTAATGGGATGTTTGTGACCGTAAATAAGTATTGTGACTTTCAAATTTTGTGATTTGTGACCGATGAAAAAATTGTGACTTTTAAATTTTTAAGTTGTGACCGATCAACAAATTGTGACCTACGAAAATTTTGAATTGTGACCTAAAATTTTTTGAATTGTGACCAAATTGTATAGATCTGTGACTTTAACAAATTCGCCGGAATCGGATCAGTCGTCGGAAAAGTCGTCGGAACGGTCGCCGGAAAAGAGTGGTGATCGGAAAGGTCGCCGGAATATCCTCGGAGTTGTAGGGATGGTGGAGGTGGGGGTAGGTTAATTATTTTATAGTAGAATTAAATATTAATAATAAATTAATTTAATAATTATTATTTCATAATTAAAAATTTAAAAAAACCTGATTTTTGAAATTTGAAATATATTTTGGTATTTTTGAAATGGTTAAAAGTAAAGGCATGATTTATGTATTCTTCCCATTGATTTTCGTTTAATGGGCTTAACCCAAATAATATCCATACCCATTAACCCATGAATCCTCCAACCGTTTATTGCATAACCCACGAACCCACGATTCCCACTGCTTTTCTAATGTTTAGGCGGGAAAAATTAGCCTTCTTATGAACATAACCCTTATTTTCAAAAAATTTCCGCTGAGTCAAAATTTGAAATTGAAATTTTCTCATTAAAGCACAAAAATTTCCCTTCTCTTTTCACTTGCATATTCTCCCAGAAAATTCAGCTATTCACAACAGCAATGGCCGTTTCAAAGAAGAATTCTACAACAAAGACTTCCCGTTCCAGTTCATCACCTTCAAACCTCCACCCACCATACCTTGAGGTACTCTGTTTTTCAGATTTTTCTTCATAATTATTTCAAAATTTTACTGATCAATTTTTGTAACGATTTCAGATGATAAGTGAAGCCATTACGACAATGAAGGATCGCGCTGGTTCGAGCCAACCCGCAATAGCAAAATTCATCGAAGTGAATTACACTGCTAGTCTCCCAACAAATTTCAAGAAAATTCTCTCGGCCCAGTTGAAAAGGTTCGTGAAATCAGAAAAGCTTGTCAAAGTGAAGAATTCCTACAAGATTTCCCCTTCAGAGAAAGTGAAAAAGCCCGTTGAAAACAAAACCCAGAAGAAGAAACCAGTCAAGAATGTCACAACAAAAACTACTGGTTCTGGTTCTAGCAAAGAGGAGGCGAAAAAGTACGATGAAAATGGGAAGAAGACGAAGAGGCTGAGCCAGGTTAAAACTCCAGAGGCTTTGAAGAAGAAAATAATAGGGAAAAAGAATGTGAAGGGATCTGTTACTGAAGGGAAATTGAAGAAAATGAGTCAGGTTAAATCTTGCCTTCCTCATGTGTAGACTGAAATAAATTAATTTTATGCACATAAATTTCATAAATGAGTGTTGGACCTGGAAGCTTGACTTGTTATATGTATTCATTCAAACGTCGTCTTTGACAGGATAAGAGTCCCGAAGGATTGAATAAAAAGGCTGCGACACCAACGAAGAAGGTGTCTCGTAAAATGGTGAAATTGGGATCAAGGCCTGCTGCAAAGAGGGCTCGAAATTGATGATTGTGCGGTAGTTTGATCTAGGAAAGTTAAGTTTGTTCGTTCAATCTATTAGTATGAGTTTGGGTTCTGCTTATTTTAGGTAGTAATATTGCAAGTTTATGTTTGAAGGTGACTATGCTAAACTTATGGTAAATATGTTTCATGTTTGGTTTTGTTATTGGATTAGGAAAAGTTGAAACACCATTATCAAATAGTTCGTGGAATATTGCGTAACCGTACCACCAACAATTGTACTAATGGAGTCATGCATGCCTCTCTTAAATTATAATACAAACGTATTATGTGCATTTTCATGTGCATGGCAGAAAAAGGCACGGTTTTGCACGTTCAAACCACAAACCATGCCATGCATCATGGATTTTTTTATATCATGTTTGGCTATACTTTTAAGCAACTTTTTATTGTCTTGAAAACTTTATTTTTTCAAGATCAACAAGAATGATCTACATTTCCATTTCAAAGTCAAAAAGTCATTTGTTGTCCATTTCATAGTCAAAAAGTAATTTATTAGCATTAATTTGTGAAAATACCCTTGATGTCTTGCTTGGTTCATAGCCATAGGTCCTTGTCAGGCAAGACATAAGTGGGGGCTCGCATTATTATTATTATTATTTTAAATATATGTACGGTCCGTCCCTTTGCCTGTGACATATTTTTCTGTACACTGAACATTATTCTAATTAATTTAGTACACGAATAATACAATTTTAAGTCATTTCATTATTATAATTACATATAAGATGATTCTTCTTAAACTAACTTCCAATGTTGGGCACTCTTAAAAACATAATATTTTAGTCTAACATAATTCTACGTTGGTTGGGAGGTACCTTCTTACCCTAAAAAAATTATAAATTTGACTGCCCCACAATTATTGTCAACAAGATTTGGACAGCAATAATTGCGACAACATATCTGGTGAACTCATTCATTTGAGAGCGCAATAAATGTAATCACACGGGCTACTTTCACTCGCTCGCATTCACTTTTCTTTCTAAAAGTTATTATTTCACGTATTAAGATTATTATGTTCTATCCAAATTCATTTACACCCCTTGTGGTATGTTTGACTATGCTAAGAGTGTGTTTGGTAGGGATTTTTGGGGGAAGAATTGATTTTTGAATAGTGATTTGATGGGAAATGTGTGGTTGAAAAAGAAGAAAAAAGTATTGATGTGATGGAAAATATTATTTTATTGAAGAATGTGTGGTTGAAAATGAGAATTGATTTACTGTAGAAAAGGAGAATCTGTACCAAACAGGCCCTAAAATATTAAGTCGTTGTTTGGTCCGGATTAAAATTTGATTTTAATTCAAGTCAAAGTCAAACAATCAATATTAACCATGAGCTTGTTTGAAAGGGATTAAAATCAGATTAAAATTGAAAATATAGCTGTTGGAGTTGATTTTTATTAGACGAGTGGAACCCAATAACGGCTATATTTTCAATTTTAATTGGATTTTAATCCTTCCCAAACAAGCCCCATATCTTTTGTGGGTCTCACAATTTTTCAACTATACATTTCAAAAATTTTTATCACAATTTACTAAAAATCTAATTTTAATCATCACCAAACACCATCTAAATTAGAAGTCGACATTTTCAAAAAGAAAATAAAAATAAGATATGAGATTGTAAAAGTAAATTATCCAACCTACCATCCAACCAATTCAAGAAAGAATCGATTTACCAAATTGTGTATTATGCTCACATCATCATAGTATATTAAAATCTTAATAATTGGAAAATTACTCAAATATAGCAAAAGACCAAACTCTTTTTGTGTTGCCAAACACACCTTTATGTCATGAAGATAAAAAAAAATAAAATAGTTTAAGGCGTAGCATTTATTAGCTACCGACTCAACCTTCTTCCTATTAATAACCCAACAGCCACTACTCCCAAACGCCCACCGGCTTTGTTTTTTCTTTTTTATATCCAAACATGAAAATTCCGTTCACTGCCGGTACATAATCTCGTTCTCTTTTTGAGAGGTAGTGAAAAAAAAAAAAAAAAGTAGAAAAAAAATCCATGGAAGGAGTATCAGTCACCGTGTACAGAAGAATTACTCGATACTGGCGAAGGAAGGGATACGAGAGGCTAAATGGAAATGCCGGCGGCCGCGGAAGAAAATCACGCGTGGTTGAGCAAGCCGCTTCCGATGGAAATAGCCGTCGACGGCGGTTCTGGAGGATAAAATTGACTCCAAGGCTTAAGCTCAAGCTCCGATTCACGCCGAAGAAGTTTTTGTGCGGATTACGCGATGCATACGTGAATATGATGATGAAACTCGCGAACACGAGAATGATCAGCACCGGATGTTCGGGCGGATACGCCGGAGATGGAGTGACTGGATACGGATTGAGACCAATCAAGGAGTATGATGAAAGGATGATTGTTGAGATCTACAAATCGATTATCATGGCTCAAGGTCAATTGGTGCCTCGTGATGCCGCCAGAATTGGCACCGGCATTGTATGCCGACGGTAATAATCGTCAATTCACAAATTTTCAGATCAATTAAATTTTTTTTTTGGGCAATTGGATCTGTCCTCTGTCGTAACTTTTAACAATTACCATGGAATAAAATGTGCAAAAAATAAAACGTAGTGTTTTTATTTTCATTTTTCAGTAGAGCATTGCCATTGACCATGTAGCTGTAAAACTTGGTACATGAGCTTTTTTTATTCACATTTGTCTTTTTATTTAATCTTAATTTTTCTGACAGCACCGTGTCTTAACTTTGGCTACTCTTTCTCCACGGAACGTTTCTTCGTCCATTTTGACTATGGTTAGATCAAGATACAAATAATAGAATCATCAAGCACTAATGAATTGACAATAGGAAGAGAGAGATTCAATCTATTGGCTCCCGTTTGGCACACAATCTAAAGATTAATAGTTCGATTGGAGATTAAAAATGCATATCACCAAACATAAAATGTTGTCAAAGGCATAGAATGTCATTTTGATTATCGCCAAGCAATTAAATTCGCGACAACTCGGGCAATATTTTGTCGAGAGAAAGTATCTTATTATGGTGGACACAATGAAATCACTGAAAAAATTGACGGCAATAGTGGTAACTATAAATGTGGTAACGCGAAAGATGCTTATGTTAGTCCAAATTTCACTTATTGGGTCGTATCCCCTCTGTTCTTTCTAATTTGGTCCGACAAATGAGTCCATAATGAGCTTAGTGGGCTTGTCTAGCTAAACTTCGTAGACCATTAGGTGCAAAATAGAAAACCCGCTTCGCGCACAACTGGGTTTAACGAGGCTCTTTGCTTTGGTTTCCCAAAATTCTTTCATGTGAAGAATAAATGAATCGAAATAAGAACTCGGCTAGTCTACAATTGATTTAGGGGACTGTGCTCGATTGAAGATTGTGATGAATTTTAAAAATCCTTCTAAATTTAGATGTTCTCAATTGAAATTTTAATGAAATCTATTAAAATTTAGGAGTCTCCAATTGAAACTTGAATGAAATCCTTTAAAATGTAGGTATTCCCAATAATTAGTGAATTTATAAAGATTTCATTAATAGATGAATTTTAAAATATTTGGATAGATTTCAAGTTTAAAAATATATATAACAATTTTTTTTTTTTTTGATATTTCACCATATTTGATGAGATTCTAAAAAAATTCATTAGAATTTATAATCTTTTAAAATCCAACAAACTCTTAGTTGGGGACAACCTCGTTAATCTCTTAGGTGCTTGTATATGAGATCAATTAGCTTAATCTAAACCAATTTATCAATTGGGCTCCATTAGTTTCAAAATACATTTTTTTAAAAACTCATTTTTAACTAAACATTCTTCCTTAAAATAATATCATTTGTGCTATATGTATTTATTGACTTACATAATAATTTACATACAAATGATGTGATAAGATATGATTGAATCGGAATTTCTTCAACTAAATTAAAAAGAATTTTCTTCACTCTTTAGACTTAGACTATACATTTTAGAATAATGTTAAATGTACATTCTTTGACTTGCATTGTTTTTTACATCACCCATGTTTTTAAAAAATTATGACGGGAAAAGTGACTATCTTAACTGTCTAATGGTGTATTGTCACATAACACCATGTAAACAATGATGTAAAAAATGATTTACATATAACATGATTGCACATTTTATGACCACTATGCCTACACATTACGAAGGCATATATCACTATTGTCATATATCAAGTCACCGTTTTAAGAAATGTAGAACGAGTTTGAAAGAGAAGAACCAGGACAACTAATTACCACTAAAAGTTTGTTATTAAAAAAAAAAAAAAGAAGTCAAACTGCTCTACGTATTGTAAGACCATGATAGCTGATCTCACTCTCTTTTGGTCCCAAAAACATTGCATGCACCTACTATTACCTCACATAGAAGATATTTTTACGTCTATTCGATCTCTATCCGTCACATGTATGATTCCAAAACTTACATGGTCAAGTTAAATCACTATATTCTCGAATGAAGTTCATATCATCTTCATCTATTGAAGAAGATAGCAACTTTGGAGAATTGATTTATGACTCTATATCAAATTTTATTTTCCTTTTTTTTTTTATATAGGAGGGTTTGGTTGTTGGGGGAGTGTATAAATAAATAAAAGAAAACTTTGAAAGTGTCCTAAAATATTTATGGAAAAATCACATTTAAAAAATTTATGAAGAATAAAGAAAATGATGTGTACAGTGAGGTTTTGTTTCTTGTATGGACGTGCTGGCAGGCAAACGTCATTGGGACAGCTGCCTCTACAGTTCCCCTTCTTACAATTACTTTTATTTATTTTTTGTTTTGAGGGGGAAAAAGTTAATCCAATCACGTTTTATATTAATCTAATCATTAAAGAAAATAAAAATATAAAAAATTACAAATCATGGCATTCTACAGTGGAGAACTCAACGAACAAAAGCCCAAAAAACAACCAAAAAGGTCAAAAAAAGAAAAAAAAAACCCTCCCCAAATTCTCTTTGCATCTTCTCCAAAGAGGAAACAGAGATACATGGATGTATGTGTGTATATAGAGAGGAGACTGAGTGAGGATTGCAAGCTCTTAGTTACATAAGAGAGTGAGTGAAGACTGCAAGCTCGTATTTACATATTGAACTTCCATTCTATAAACAAATTGATTCTTTCTTCACTTTCTCTATGATGGAACCTATTAGCTTCACATCCACGGCAAGAAGAAAAATTACAGAAAGGAAAGCATAATTGTTATTGGGATTGAGGTTTTTGTAGTGTAAATTGCATTTGCCCTTCACTCTGGCGGACCTAAAGGGAACACTACCCTTCCTATTCTCTTCGTTTTCCTCCAATAGTTTCGATTTCAAATCATGGAGAAAAAAGCAGGACAAGAATTGGAGATTGTATTATAGAGGAACAAAAATGTTGTGGATTATAAGATTTTCTGGATTTTTCTCTGCAGCAATGATGATGATTGTACTTTCTCCTTCTCTTCAACCATTCCCTCCCGCGGAAGCCATTAGGTCTAATATGGATTATTATCTCCGTTTTCCTACATCTTCAAATTCAGTCGACAAAATTTCCTTCAGAAAATCCCCTGTTTTTCGCAATGCCGATGAATGCCGCTCATCAACGTTGGGGAAATCTGGCGTGTGCGATCCCTCTTTGGTCCATGTAGCGATTACTCTTGATGTTGAATATTTACGTGGTTCAATTGCTGCTGTTTATTCAATTCTTCAGCACTCAAAGTGTCCAGAAAATGTGTTCTTCCATTTCCTTGTATCTGAAAATGGCCTCGAAACCTTAGTGGGATCCACTTTCCCAGAGTTGAAGTTCAAAGTTTACTTCTTCAATCCGGAACGGGTCCGGAGCCTGATTTCAAGTTCCGTGAGGCAAGCGCTAGAACAGCCGTTAAATTATGCTAGAAATTACTTGGCTGATCTTCTGGAGCCATGTGTGAAACGGGTGATTTACTTGGATTCGGATCTCGTACTAGTCGATGATATTTCGAAGCTTTGGAGTACAAGCTTGGGGAAGAAGACTATAGGCGCGCCAGAATATTGTCACGCAAACTTCACCAAATACTTCACCGAGTATTTCTGGTCTGACCGGAAATTCTCCGGCGTGTTTTCCGGCAGAGATCCTTGTTATTTCAATACCGGCGTAATGGTAATAGATCTGAGGAAATGGAGGCGGTTTGGGTACACCCGCAGCATCGAGCGGTGGATGGATATACAAAAGACGAGCCCAAGCCGTATTTACGAACTCGGCTCGCTTCCGCCATTCCTCTTGGTTTTCGCCGGACGAGTGGCGCCGATCAAGCACAGGTGGAATCAACACGGTCTTGGAGGGGATAATGTCAGAGGGAGCTGCCGCGACCTCCACCGTGGCCCGGTGAGTCTTCTCCACTGGAGCGGCAGCGGCAAGCCGTGGCTTCGACTCGACTCAAAGCAGCCGTGCCCTCTCGACTCCTTGTGGGCCCCCTATGATTTGTATGAACAATCTACGTGAATTTTGTCTCCTCGAAATTCACCGTCGCCGGTAAATTCCTCAAGTCACTGTTTTCATTTTTTATTAACATTTTCCATTTTCTTCTTTGATTATTATTTTGCATTTTTGTTTTATTTTGATTAACTCATCACTCTCATAGTTATCTCTGGCTATTTGTATTCTATTATACTCTCTCCTCCTAAAAATAAAAAGTAAAAGTGAATTTACTAGTTCATCCGCTTTTCTTTGTCGCACTTTCAGTTTGCTTGTTTTTCTTTTGCTTTCTTTTATGTCGACATCTATTGAATATTTCATCGGGCTAAAGTGGGTTGAACTAAAAAAATCACTATATCGATAGTTCGATTCTAATCTTCTTGAATAACATCTAGAAGAGATTTTTAAGAATTTATCATATGATCAGATGAAATATTTTCAGATAATTTTCGAATAACGTTTAAAAAATCATGCCAAACAAGTGTTTAGTGAATTTTATTTTACTCTTTGAATGATGAAGATTTGGTGAGGGAAATAATGTTAGGTCAAATTGGAAATGTGGCAACATGGTAGGTTGAATTGAGAACATGATTGCATACCACTTTTATTGATTGTTATGGTTAGAATGCATAGAATATGCAAGTTACAAAGAAGAAATGTTGGGTGGATATTTTTTTAGTGGGAAGAAGCACATGTTGTGCTGCTGCCACGGCTAATGTGGTTGACTAATTGAGGATTGATATGTTGGTGTCCGTTTGATAAAATTTGGATCCCTTATGGCCTCTTTGATATCTAGAGGTCATGGAAAGCATTAGCGGGCTGTTTTTACCAATCACTCATTCTTAAAATCGAAGACTCGAACGGAATGGAGGAAAAGTAATTGAATAGATATATCTACCTAATTTTCAGTTTCAGCGTGTGAAAAAATTGTGCAAGTCTCAGATGTTTAGTAAAAAATTGAACCTGATTTTGAAGGGCAGGTAAACGGGGATACTGTTGGATATAAATGATTATTAGGTAAAAGTCCACGGGGTTGGCTTGGAAAAAATGATGCTTTAAATGTGGACATATTTCTCGTGATCTAGCTAACTTCACTTTCTATCCTCTGCAGAGTGAAAATCCCTTTTTAGCCTTTGTATGTTTTTCTATTTGATTTAATTACCTCATTTTTATCGACTAATAGAATATGTAGTACACGCCTTAACTCTTTGAGACACAATCTTGATGTGTTTGGGAATAGAATATTTGAATAGCTGTTTGTGGGTTGTAATTGTGAAATAAATGAATAATAGGGGCATCGGGTCCCGTAAGTTGTCGTTTTTGCGTGCACAGTCTCCAAATCCTTATCATTGAAAGGCGAAATTGCACCTTTGATCCCAAACATATTGCCCCCTATAACAAGCAACGTTTTAGAACTAGTCTAGTCAACGTTTTGAACTGGTACATTAAAAAAAAGGTTAATTAACTTTTAGGGAATAACATGGCGTTTAGGGGCGAACATGCTGGTTTTAAGTTAATATAATAGAATTTAAATTTCTTAGTTTACATATAACTAAATCATATTTTGAATCGGTTGGTTCATCGATAGTCCATTAATCTTTGCTTTTAAGTAGGGACTAATTCTTGAAAATTTGAAGTGAGATATATTTTCACGAGGACCACGTGATAAAGACATAGAATTTTGGACAATCTCCGTCACAGAAAACTAATTGCACAATGACAAAAAAAAAAAAAATGTAGGAATTAATTTCTACAAAGACAATAGGTTTTGACCAATAGTGCAAATTTTCCTTATTTACTTATGACGTTATCATTAGGTGGTAGTAGTTTTATTATTTTTATTTGTATAGGTGATTAAGATTAAGACTTGGCACCCGACAATATCCCTATCCTCAGAATTAGTAATAATAAATCAACATCTTGTTGCAATTATCATACGCTATTATAACTCTAAAATGGTTTGGAAACACGTACAAAAATAGGACAAGGTCCGACAAAATCATAATAGTGAACGAATACCGACTTAACAAATATCGGATGGACACATATCGAATTTGCAACACACCGGATTTTTACATACCATATTTGCAACACATACCGTATAAACATGTACCGGACACTAGCTAACCGAATATTAGCCAAACTATTATAAATCAAATAATTTATTAATTACAATAAAATAGAACATATAAGGCAAATCATTGACCTCATAAGGCCAATTTTTGGTCAATATGGTTCGACATTTGTGTACGCACACAAGTTCAAGGTCCGAAACTTATTTTGATCCGTGATTTGCACCCCCTACACGCGCACGTGGAGAGAGTCTCTATATTACACATGATTACAACCTAAGTGCAATCATATTTAAAGTAGTTATGTCTTTATCTATTTTTCTATGTGGGATAATTTTAAACTAGTTTTTCTTCAACACAAAACATTTTTCAATGCATTACTTTGAGATCCAATTTGCATTCACCTGAACATCATTTTTGACAAGTAAATATATGATTTCGATATTCGCAGGGAAGAGAACGCAAATCAATATTGATCTTCCAAAATAACCATACTCAAAATTTATGCCAAAGTGAGCCATTGTATTCATTTTTTCCAACACAAGGAACAAGGACATTCATAGAATACGATCTATTCTAACGAAAATGATGAAGATAAGAGACCAACTCAATATTGGGATGATAGATTTGAGATTCATGGTGCAATTTTCCAGTTTTATTAAAAAAAAGAAAAAAAGTGATCCTATAATTATTCGGGGAGTAAGAGTAGTTTGTTCATTTGGATTGTATTGCATGTTTCGTGCCAAACCATGTGTGCGCCTTGCACCTCAGTTACAATAATATAAAATTATTCCAATTTGTTGAGAATATGTAATTACTGTAATAATTGTTAATATATATTTTTCTTTTATTTTCGAACAAGATAAGATAAGCAGATAAAAAAAATGTCACTGTTTATTTAGTTTCTGCATGTGAAAACAGAGGAAAGAAACAAAGGAAAAAGAGTTCTTAAAAACACATGTAGCCCGGAATAAATCAGAACTTTACAGCTAGAAAATAGCCACCGCCAGGGGTTGAGGGGACCATCCACAAATAGTGGTGGCGCCACCGCAATTTGTTAACCGCATAATTGCACATACATTTGGATATTAGGAAGGGTGCCATATGAGTTCAGACTTACTTTTGCTATACTTCAAAATACAGAATTTGAAATGACTTATTTTGGTTAAGCCGTAAATTGATTTTCATAAATTCCAAAATGCAGGGCTTCGAATTACTTATTTTGGATAAGCAAGCCTGATTAGTTAATACATACCATTGAGTTAAACCATACGTCTAGCTTGTAAATACTTGTAACTACATGTATAGTTCAATGTGCTCAACAATGTCAAATACTGAGATGTGAAACATATGAAATGTACATTGATGTGACATACTACTTTGATAGTATAATAAACAAGATTGCAGCTTATTTTTCTTAGTATCACGTACCAACTAATCTTCTCTGCCGAACATGTGTTTGCATTGGGTTGATGGTTTGAAATTAAGAATAAGCAAAATTGGAATGTATGATATAAGAAAAAGGTTACCGACGTGCAAGACATGAAGAATATAGGCGTTTAACTTTGATGCTCTAAAGTGAGAAGCACCAGAAGAGCGGGCTACTTCCGAAAGATTCAAACTGATGTCAAAAAGAGAGAATACCTTTTTTCGTAAACGAATACCAGACAGGAACTCCTCTTTATGTCCCGTCCAGGCAATCTGTAGGCTACAAAACTTAAGAAGATCAAAGCTCAGCACGATGAATGGCGGATATGAGCCATCAATCGACCCGCTTCACACAAATGTATGTTTGCCTCCATCATCATCTTGACTCAAATGTTTCGTATGTTAAACTAAATAAGATAAGGCATAAATATCTTGTATTTTTTATTTTTTAATCTTATCCAATTCAACATTCTAGAATATTGAAGTAAAGTAACTTTAAGAAAAGGAACCACTGGGGTGGGAGATTCATATTTAACATAATTGGTTGAGCATTGTAGAGTGGGAGATGTGCTCGAATTTGTGATGATTCATGTTGTAACGAGAATTGAGTCCAACTAAACTTATGCATGAGTAAGATAATACTACTACTTTTGATTAAAGTTTGTGATGGCATATATTAACATGGCGTGTTTCAGCTTTCCAAGACAACACATGTGTACATTATGCAAATCATAAATGCAATCTAGTTAGCACCCTTTTGTGCTTCTATCTGGAAGCAAGTATACCAAGAGTTTTCGCGGTTCTGGAGATTCTAAGTACAACACAAACCCAGAACAAAGTCCCCCCCTTCTCGGTTTTCTTTACAATATAAGGCTTACATACCTAATCTAATATTCTTGAACACCTGAATGGATAGTCCAGAGAGAATTGGCCATTTAATCTTGTCATCCAGTCGACATCCAGGTTCTTCAATTTCCAGCATAATAGAAGCTATGTAAAAATTGGGATTCTTGAATAGAGGGCAAAGGGACTACTTATAATTGTCTAAGAAATGAATTCGAACACTGATTCTGGAACAAGACTCTGCCAAAACTTTCAAAACCTATCCATGTTTACTTGGATATATTGAAATTACTCTACTGATAAGAAGAACCGATATAATGTACACTCCTGCTGAATGGTTAAGATGAGCAGCTATGTGCACTCAGCATTAGGTTCGAAATTACACTAACAAATGTCGAAGTTAGGAGTCAATAATATACAAACAGTAATCAGAAGAAAAAAGAATAAATAAACCATGATTTGATCACATAATTGACATTTTAGTTAAAATCAACCCATGAAGAGCTTCCTATGCCAGGGCTGAGGCATCTAAAGATTTTCCTTGCACAGCATGACACATGCTGGCCTTCCTAGGCAACCTTGCCCACACAAGTTTCTTGGATTGTGTGGAGCCTAATCATATTGTTTATTATCGCCTTGATCATGGATTGACCTAAAAAACCTATGATATATAGAAAATTTTAATGTGGCCGTTCTCTTTTCAAGACAGGATACCATTTAAAAATTCACCCCAAAAAGTAGATGTAGCTCTAACATTAGACGTCTGTGTATGTCTTTTGTTCCTTTTGTTGCTAGCTCTTGTAAGCAGGGATTGTTAATTAGTCTATAACAAACTCATGGACACACTGTAAGAAACCCAATAAGAGAAGCAGAATTCGCAATCTCTTACGCAATTAGTTATACTGATGAAATTGATGAGGATATTCTTATCGACACTAACATAAGCGGAAATGAGATTCCAGATGCTGCAAATCACTATGCAGATTTATTTGATGCAAGCACGAGAGCCCTCAATGAATTGCAAAGGTTCTTTTAGAAAGACTGCATTTTCAGGAGAATGGCTCTCTGTGGTTAGGCACACAGAAATCTCAGCAGTTCTTAATGAAACCCAAGATTCCAAAAATTGGAGAAGATGAGTAAATGCTTATGCTAGTAATCAAGAATCAAATCGAAAATGCTATTTTGATGAAATCCTGGTGTTAGCAGTAGAAACTTTCAGGTTTAATAGAATTCTGACTACGTTCACTTGTCCAATTAACTTTAGGACATGAGATGAATAACAAGAAGGATTTAATCGAATAACAAATGAGTTGAAGTAGCTACAATGTTTTACAAATCAAGGAATCCTGTAAGAACAAGTGATGACAAAAGAAAGAAAAAAAATAATAAAAATAAATGACCGATTCTTTGCTCATGCAGGTTTTGCTTAGCAGAAATAATCAAAGCCGGCACGCCACTTCATTAAAATATCTACCCAATCAAACAAAAAATGTCCATAAGAAAAATTCAAACATATTTTTCAATGCAAAATTTTCTGTATTAATACTTAGTCTTAGTCGTCTCTTCTTCTTCTTCTTCTCCAATTTATTATTTGTATGTAATTTTCGGTTACTTCACGATTCAAACTCAAAAATGGCTACTCTTTTCTGCAGTTTCACTTCCATAATAATACTAATGATCTCTGTTTCATTACTTCCAATAATCTCTTTATCTCAGCCTTCAAATTCTTCTGTATGTAACGGCATATTAATATCATACCGCTACAACACCGGCTACGCAGTGCCGCCGACCCTCTCCCCAGAGGAGAGGGCCCGCCAGCCCTACCGGTTTGAATCAACCCTAACGATCACCAACAACGGCCTAGTTGAGCTTAAGAATTGGCGGGTCTTTGTGGGTTTCAATAACAGTGAGCTGTTGGTCTCTGCTTCAACAGCCGTGCTTGCTGACGGTACCTCCCTACCGGCTGATGTTAGCAAGGGGACTGTGTTGGCTGGATACCCGGTGGCTGACTTGAAGACGGCGGTGGAGACCGCCGGAGATGTTAATCAGATGCAGACCCGGGTTGATTTGGTGGGTACACAGTTCGGAGTCGGGGCTCCTAATGTTCCTTTGCCCGCTAATATCACACTTGCTAACGATGGATATTTGTGTCGAAATCCTACAACACAAGGTACTAATAAATTCCTGGTCCTTCATTTTTCTTAATATTCTCTTTTAACCTTTTTTGAGCATGGGTATGAATTTGTTTCATATCGAGGACACACATAAATAATAAATGGATGACAACAAGACATGAATTCACAACTTTGTATGCTCTCCTATTGTTTTTAATATTTTAAGTCTATTGAACTAGAAAATATAAAAATAATATTGAACCTTAGAACTTGATAACGAGAAATTCATATATAATTTTATGTTAATTAAATTTTTAGAGGAGACAATCCAATACTATGGCTCTTGCAGGAAACGAAACAAGAGTTTGTTGTATCCTAGACTCAAACGTGAGAACAAATATCACCGGTGATGAAAAGATCATGCCACTACAAGATGGAGATCTCACGATTATGTACGACGTGATTAGTTCATACGAATCAAATTACTTGGCACAAGTCACGATCTCAAATCACAACCCGTTTGCTCGTCTTGACAATTGGAAATTGAGTTGGGATTGGATGGAGCATGAATTCATCAATTCGATGAGAGGTGCTCGTCCTAATGTTATTGATACTAGTGATTGCATATTTGGCAGCCAAGGTAATTTCTACACGAATTTTGATTTTTCGAGGGCCTTAAGTTGTGTAAAAAGGCCAACGATAATTGATCTCCCTCTTGATAGAACAAATGATACTACACTAGGAATGATTCCTTTTTGTTGTCGAAATGGAACAATATTGCCTCCTTCCATGGATTTAAGCAAGTCCAAATCAGCCTTCCAAATGCAAGTTTACAAAATGCCACCAGACCTGAACAAGACTCAACTGACTCCTCCTCAGAATTGGAAAATCAATAGTACAGTCGGCCTTGACTATCAATGCAGTCCCCCAGCGAGGGTAAACCCGAACCTCTTCCCTGATCCGAGTGGACTACCTTCGGACTCAGCAGCCATTGCCAGCTGGCAAGTCGTTTGTAACATAACGCGTCTTAAATCAAAGAAACCAAAATGCTGTGTATCATTCTCAGCATTCTTTAACGATTCTGTCATTCCATGCAATACCTGTGCCTGTGGGTGTGATAGGACTACGAACCCAAGCAATGTTTGCAGCGCCACCGAGCCACCACTTCTTCTACCGGCTGAAGCCCTACTCATCCCATTTGAGAACAGAACCAATAAAGCACTAGAATTCGCAAACCTCAAAAGGCGGGAAATCCCGAATCCATTGCCTTGTGCAGATAACTGTGGTGTAAGCATTAACTGGCATGTACTTACAGATTACAAAGATGGATGGACTGCAAGAATGACACTCTTCAATTGGGGTGAATCTGACATTGTAGATTGGTTTTCTGCTGTTGAATTGGATAAAGCAATGCCTGGTTTTGAGGCAGTTTATTCTTTTGCTGGAACTCCCCTGTCGGATGCCAATAACACGATATTTTTCGAGGGTCTTCTGAACCACAACTACCTTGTTGCAGAAAGAAATGGGTCCAAACCGAAAAAGGATCCTCGTGTTCCTGGGACGGAGCAGTCTGTGATATCTTTTACTAAGAAGAAAACACCTGGAATTAATGTGGCTCGGGGGGACGGATTTCCCACCAAAGTTTACTTCAACGGGGAAGAATGCTCACTTCCTACAGTACTTCCAAGCAACGCTCATCGAATTGCTGCGGCCTCTGCAGTATTTAGCAGCATTCTTTTGATGCTGCTAATTATTATAGGCCTGCAGCAGTAGCAACATACACTTTTCAACTGTGGCAATTCTTCTCTTATTTTTTCTTTCATTCAATGTAGTTGCACCTTATTTGACAAGGCTAATCGAGACACATTATATATTTCAATTTATGGGAATGGGCATATTCTGTAGGAACTTGAGGTTCCAATCAAGGTTTACATGATAGATATATTACTCCGATCCCCTTATAAACTCGCAATCCATGTGTCTTATCACTATGAAACTTTGATTCGCACTTCTTCAACAATCTCTCAAACGAAGTGCCACACTATCACGACCTACAAATGATCTTCTACCAGGAAGATCACATACTCTATGAACATCCGCATTATCCATGGTGCTAGGCTCGTATATACCATAAAGGTTCCACTATCCTAAGAGTTCATGAAATCTTCTACCAATGATAATAAGTGTGGCCCACACTTATCAAATATTCCGACAAGTCCACAGATTCAAATTGAACATCCAAATGGCTAAGTTTGAGACATGCCTCTAATACCCGCTAGTAGAGACTTGCGATGTCGTCCCAAAAGATTGGCAGGTTAGTTGAAGTAGATTAATCCTCTAATAAACTCAAACCTGTCTCTATATCTTATTGGTGTGGACTTTTGTTGGAACATTTTCGACAAATTCAACAACACAGATTCTAATACTGGAAATTATTCGCACTTGAAAATCTGCAATGAAGTAACAAAAAAAAAATTACTTAAAAATTAGTTTAGCAATTAAACTTAACCAGACATGTAGTAAATCACATAATATTTAGTTGTGTAAGTTAATTTGTCATTCTAATATTAAGTGTTGAATTTCTAGCAACATTTTATAGGGTTTCACCCTTTCCTCCTCTATTAGATCCGATGGACAATACAATCCAGAGTAATTAATTTCTCCCTTAGAACTCCATTCCTTGAGACTCGAAGCTAAACTAGTTAATATGACCATTTATATATCGCGCTACTTTATGCACACATCTTGCAAGACGACTACTAAATACTAATAATTAGATAACAGTTGCAGGTATGTTTTCCTCGTATCTTCAAATGGAATAGTTAGGGTATAGAAAACGAATTCGACTTACAAGAATCTATGCATGTTGAAGGATACAAATTTATAAATGATTTATAAATTCAACTAGTCAAACATCAATTACAACCACACATTCATAACTACTAATTATTATTCACACATTTTATAGACCCATTACTATTCCTTTTTATAAACCATTTATAATATTTGCCAAACGGAAGCTTATAAACTTTCCCCTAAACTTTTAAAATGAGGCGACTGAATAAGAGAGAGCCAAATTGTGGGTAAATTATAGGATCCCACCTAAATTGTGACCTCCTTGGAAAATTTTCTCATCTTCTTGGCACTATACATTATTGGTTGATGGTGGAATAAAAAATCACAAGCTAAGGAACATAATCAAACACCTTTATTGTGGCGGACGAAGCTTCCTAATTAACCACTTCTTTCGCAGCTTCACATCCAATGCCAAAAATGTTTTTGCTTTCGTTTCATCCTCCAGAAAATCACAAGCATCCAACACAAGGCCTTCATTCATATCTGGTAAAGCCTGTATTGCTTCTATCACGTTTTCTATAGGAGCCGAGTTCAAAATTCCATCTTCTTTTCTCTTATCTGCCAATGATGAAACTACAGTTGCCATTTCGTGTAGAGCATGAACCACACCCTCAGCTTTGCTCCGTGCTTTCTTGGAAGTTCCTGAGATGGATGGATTTTCCAACTGGCGCTTGGTCAATCAATTACTTATAGTGATAGTACAATCTGAATGTGAAGGCTCCTCTTTCTTGAGAAACTGATCCGATCCTGACGTCACTGGAGATTGGCAAACCCTCAATGGTTGCATAAATTTAAATTCAGCGTCTTCATCTTGGAGCTCCAAATTATGGCCTGACATACAGTCCTTTATGTCACTACTAAAATCTTTCCATATCAAGCACAAATGTTTGTAGTACGGCACGGTTCTGGTCATATATTGCCTAGCATCTGTATGTGCCTGCATTTCATGACAATTGAATTTTCAATAGTATTTTTCAATGAAACTAGGTAATATTCATAATACGCAAATCACATGAAGTGGTATGCGATCAATGTATCATTCACATTACCATGAAGAAGGGAAAAATAACATAATACATGCATCAAGCGTGAATTTAGGCATTGCAGAAAAGCATCATGAAATTAAAATTTCATAAATAATTCAAGATAGTGCTTAGACTGAAGTTGTAAGATTCTGTTGAGATTTGAATATATTAAGCAATCAGATTTGGGCCCCATTTCTCAGATCCCAAAAGTTATAGACAGTACCAATATTGTAATGTATTGTGCTGCCAAGAAACTATATCCTCAAACAACTTAAATGAGCTGCTACAAATGCATCTATATTTTATGTGCAGGTCATCAGAAAAAATAGTCATTCCATTCAACTGAAATCAATAATTTTTTCTTATTCTGTTTTTAATTAAAAATTTATTGTCATTGAATAGCAGCGGAACATGTTGTGTATCTATTGCAAACAAGTATCGAATTTTGACATCTGTTATTAGTTTATGAGGATTATATAGTTGGATAGAATACGCACCTTGATATGATCCTGCCAGATGTGGTCATCAGCGGTCACCATTTGCCGTGCATCATCCCAAGCGAATCCATCCAGCTCCAGAAGCTTCTTTATAACATTATATTGCCTTCTCAGAGTTTTATATCGATTTTTGAGAATGTCAACTTCGTACTTAAATCCAAATTTAGCATTGAAAAGCGCAATCATCTCTGTCCATGCTTGTTTTCTGAATAGGCCATCAACCTGGTTTCCCTTTTTCACTTGATCTAGTATAATATCAAGAATATAGCGATCCATTGGTGGCTGCCAGTAAGTCCTTGAACGAGCACCTATTGTGGAGCCAATATCTGACGGAAAGAGTTGTGTGTCATCAACGATTCCTTTTGTCACATGGATTCCATAATCTTCATCAATCATAATATCAAGAAGAGATTCAGCAGCCACGTCACTAACAAAGCCTGGCCCAATTACGTTCTCACCTAAATGTGATGAACATTCCAACAATTTGCAACCTGGCTTCTCATCATCTAGATTTGGATGAGGATATTTCACTCCTTCTGACAAGCTATAAGTATCAGACTGTGACACATTGTCATTACAATCATCATTTTTCACAGAAATGGTGTCTTTGCCTCCAAAGGTTGCATTTTAATATGTCTCACATAAATCATGATAACATGGGGTCATCTTTACTATGTATAATTGAGAATTTGGATGTGCCTGAAAATAAAATTGTAAACCACTAGAAGTGCATCGACAGACAACAATCCTTTCAAAGCTATAACATTCAGAGAATAGCACCTTAATATAGTTATCCCAAACTTCATTATCTGCGGTCACCATTTGCCTTGATTCATCCCAGCTAAAACCTTCATTGTCAAGGAAATTGTTTAAAGCCTCTCGGCATCTTGTATCAATTTTTTAAAACATCATTTTTATTTTTATTTATTTTTTTTGTGTTGGAAACTGAACTTAGCATTAAACATAGCAGTCATATGTTTCCACGATCATTCAGCAGTCGTATTTCCTTTACCAACTTGCTCCAGCTTAAGATCAATAAAAGCATGATCCATTTTTGGCATCCAAATTGTCCTTAGTCGATCATTACCACCACAAGTTTCGGTGCCCATTTTAACAGTTAGGCTAGCAATTTAGACAAGCATTAACGCCTGTAGAACTTTATTACAAGCTAGAAATGTATCAACAGCATAACTTATAGATCTACACAACAGAACTATGAATTCGGTAAATCATCCATAGGTTTCGTACTAACCAACATCATGAAATAATTATGCAACCAAATTGTGGTCTCAATTCCCCATTCAACATTCATAAGTAGAGATGGAAAATGAACCGAGATACTAGAAGCTCCCATTAAGATCTCTTAGTGAAAGCCTGTTAAGAGCATTTCACTAGTTAAACAAGCAAATTTTGAACATATTTTAGTGGCCTGAAGTTTGTCAAGCTGAACTTGATAAGCTAATGAACGAGAAATATATTGTCATACAAAGATGGTCAAGCTTGAGAAAGACGGGATTAGCATTCATACCAAATTTCACATCAATTTTAAACCTGATAAAGCAATTATACATCGCTTCAACAGCCTACAACAGTACCATTAACTTGTCCTAACATTTATACCTAAATCTTAAGTCTACATACTTTTTCACGAATGAGTTTTTCGTAATGAGATTTAACCAAAAAAAAAAAAAGGTCCAGTAAGAAAGCAGATTTCCACCAATCAAAAATACGAAATACAGATTAAATGCATAATGTTATCTATCTTTATGCTCATAAAATGTTTCAACTCAATTCAATATCGCATGGGAAATGCTTAACATATCTTCAACCAATATTTTTCTATGTACAATTAAAAAAAAGTACGCAGAAAGCAAAGGAAATTATAGAACAACCGCGTCTCGAAAATAATATAATCGATCACGTACCATTTCAGACAAAAAGGAAATAGAAAGACAGGCAATCGGAAAATGTAATGCTAAAAAATCATCAAAATTACATGAATGTACAGCAATTTGGTATCAACCCTCAAAATATTTTGTGCCCTAGAGTATGAATGAGGAATAATCACCTTGTATTAGTAGGGGAAAATATGAACAAGTATTTCTCTATCTGCAATATTGGGAAATGCAATCTTGGGAAATAGGGATAAGGTTTTCCAGGATAACTTGATATTCTGATTACAGAAATTAGGACAGGAGCAAAACCGAGTTAGTTTTCTTGTTTTTACTGTGTTTTTTCCCCCCAACTTATTACCCGCCAAATTATAAATCATTTGTTTTTTATCTTTCTTATCAAGCATACATTTTTTAATATGTAAATCCAAACATTTTTTAGTCGCACATTCCCCCAAAAATTACAATTCTTCTCATTATAATGTGGAATAATCGGGTCAACACAGATGCTAAGTCATATCTGTATCTTTTAAAACAAAAATATTTAATTCTCATATTTATTTTCAACAACATATTTACGTAATAAAATATTTTGCACGTAAATTTAAACTTTTTTCTTACTTTTTAACCACATATTATTAAAAAAAAAAATCAATATTCAAAATTTCATTTTTTAAAATAATGGCCATCGAACAGTGGCTAAATATCAAAATTGAGGCTTGCCTTGTATTAGCCCTTATTTGATGGAGATTAAAATCAATTTTTTAGTAAATTTTAATAAAAGTTGATGAAATTTATGGTTGAAAAATTTTGGGTTTTACAAAATATGTGGTTATAATTAATTAAACTTTGTCTCTATTGCATAATACATCCTTATCCTTTTATTTTAGCGCAAAACCCCTATATGATCTTTTCTTTTCGAAATTCTACATTTTCTTCAATTTTCTCAATAAAGTCTTGTAAAATGGCGGATATACCCTCTTTAAAAATAAAAAAGAAAAGAAGAAAAATAAAAATTTAATTGCAACTATAGTCCAAATTTTTTTTTTTAAAAACATACAAATAAGTCCCAATTAAATAATTAAAAAATTAAATGGACATATAAATTAATTTTTATATTTTATTTAAAAACTTAATTGAACATATCATTTTTTCAATAAATATTATTGACGTATAAGTTAGTTTTTATTTTATTTTTTTAATTTCATCTTCAATGAATTTATTGTAATTAATATATTATATAGATGTAAATCAAATTAACGACGACGATAATATCATCAATTCGATGATTAACAGTAGTTCTTCTATAAAAAGGGAAAAGCTTGGGTTAGTAACACCAATGACTTTTTCGTCGACCATTAGCAATTAAAGAACTATAATTGTTCGAAGAAAATCCAATCCCTATTAGAAATGATTTCACCATTAACCATGTCGATATGCAACCATGTCAATCAATAGGTGTTATCAATTTTTAATCAGCAAAAATGGGACTCATGAGCGCCAACCAAAAAACCATCTGGACTCAAGTTGATTGTCTCAATAATCACCGAATTTATATTCATGTTGTCGATTGCTCATTGAAATTTAAAATGTCGAGATTTGACCATTAAACTTATTCAAAAGTTGGATGTTACTCACTGGCTTAACTTTCGTTAATAACCTCTAATGGAAGTGGTGATGTGGTTAATAGAATGTCCAAGTGGCGCTATGTCACCGCTACCACTTAAAAAACATATTTCATTGCTCACTATACTTTAAAAAATATTTCAATAGCTCACTATACTTTGTAAAACATCTTTGATTGCTTACTATATTTTGAAAAACATTTTCAGTTGCTCACTAAACTTTTAAAGTGGTTGAATTTTAGCCATTAAACTTATGAAAATGAAGCCGACATGTCTCAAAATTTCCCACCTAAGCCGGCTTCATTTTCATAATTTCAGTGGCCAAAATTCAACCACTTTAAAAATTCAATGAACAATCAAAGATATTTTTCAAAGTACAGTGAGCGATGAAAGACTCTTTTTACGCGGTAGGTGCAACCTAGACATTCTGTCAGCCATATCACCACTTCCGTTAGAGGTTATAAACGGAAGTTAAGCCAGTGAGTAACGTCCAATATTTGGATAAGTTCAGTGGCCAAATCTCGACATTTTAAACTTTAGTGAATAATCGAAGATATAGACAAAAGTTCAGTGATTATTTGGCAATTAACTCTCTGGACTCCATCTGCTAAACAAATTATTGAGGCCTCTATCTTGGCCATACCTAAGATCTCACATATCGTGTATGAGGACGATCCTCCTTAGGGCAGTAATGAGCGTGAAGGTATTCCAAAATATTGGAATCAGAAGAAAAACAATGGTTTAAGAGTCTCAGCTCAATGTGCTGGACATTATGAAAATGTTTTCTATTTATACTGATTTTCTGTATTACAATCTTCCTCTATTTTTGGCATAACTTTAACAGAATCCAATTCTAACAAGCTGGTGAATCCTTGATTGTTGTAATTCCTGGACAGAATTGTAATGCATCTTGGCTGGCTTGATTGACATTCCATGAAATTGATTTTATTGGGAATGAATCTCGGTTGAATGAATCTCAAATCTCTTGATTTGCTTTCCATTGATTTGATTACTTGCAAATGACTGGGATTCCTTTTTTGTGCTAATTGACTGGTTTTCTTCCTTATCTTTCCAAGTAATGCACATGCTAATAGAATCCTTCATCAATTTTCTCCTTACGTGTTTGTTTAGCACGACCCCATTCAAAAAAGAAATATCACAAAGGCCAAATCTCCATTCCTCATTTGCCTTAATAGGAACCTGTTATCAGTCGAACTTGCCCAGCCCAGAAAAAGTTCTTATAGCCACACTGAGTTTCTTAAGGAGAGAATCAGAAAACCTGAAATGAGTCGAGAATAGAGACTTGTATTACAAAGTTGATAAGGCTAATGCGACTTGTTCTCTAAAGGGAGTGAACTATCCAATATTGCAACCTGCTCTTGATCTTGTTTGCACATTCTCTTAACCAACAATGCCGCGATGCACCAATAAATAGTGAACACCCTAATAGTCCACAGAATCACCACCCTTCGCATTCTAGAGTCGTCAATAAAATTGATATCCTTAGCTTAAAAATACTAGGACCAAAATAAATGGAAAACTTCTCTTAATTGACCAGTGTCCTGAATGAGAGCCATGAAGAAAGTCTCTAAAATATGTTTTCCAGAAATATAAACAAGCACTTAAGCCTCAGGTTTGACATCCAAACTTCATCAACCAAATGACAAAATATAAACGAAAGTTCTTAAGTAATTACTAATAATACTACTTTGACCAAATGTTCTCATCCATGAACTGCCACCTGTAACTGTCCGTGTTATCCCCAAGCCACCACGTGTCTTTCCTTAGCAACATCACATTGTTCTAAGTACTGAAAACAATAAAGAAATAAGAATAAAGATACTTGTACATCGCCACTAGGCCAAGTGGCCCTGTACAAATACAGGAGGCTAATTGGGCCCCTATGATATATAGTCTCCCCCACTTATCATAGGGGTCTGGCACTACCTAGACCTACGTGAAAAGGCGGATGTAGGATAGTGCGGGCTTGGGCTATAGCTCAGCTTGCCCCCAACCCATTTGCAATGGAATGTAAACAATAAAAGCTAATTCAACCCAACTACAAGGTGGAATGTTAAAAAAAAAAAATAGTCCAGTCCAGCCCATTCAAGCCAACTACAGTCCCAGCTCGTCCATTGTCCAATTACCCAAACTTGTTGAAGACATCAGAATTTACATATTTATTTAATGCATATTCATGCTACACAATCTTCAATTGGGGTGGTTTAATTATTTTTGATCTTCAATTGTTTTCTGAGTGATTAGTTTCCTCCACTTTTCTTTGGAAGAATAAAATGTTGGAATGCCTCTGCTCCGTTTTCTTTTAGGAAAAGATTGTGTTATGACCATTTTCTAGAAAAAAAGGTTGACTATAATGTTATTCTTCTAGTCTATTTATAAAATTTCATAAGGGTGAAGCACACATGGGAGTGGAGAAGGCAGTTGGAGCTAACTTGCTTCGCGATAGATAATAGAAGAAGATTTTATAGAAAAGTGGGATCAACTTAACATAATGCGTTCGTTTTTGGAGAAGTGAAGTGTTAATGACACATGGAATCCTTCAAAATTCGGCATGCTCTCCACCATTAACACTTTACGTAATTCAAAAGTTGTAGTAGTCCTTTCATATTCCCCTTCCAAAGAGTATAAAATAATGATATTTAGCACAATTGATGTTACAATATTGGTCTAGGTGGCACTAAATATAATTAAAAAGGTATAATTGAATGAATCACATCATTTCACCTTTAATTGAACATGTCACATAATGTCATATAGATTGATGTTCTAGATAAATAACATTATTCAAGTGTATATATCTAAACCGTTCCTTCCTTCTTCATTGTCTTTTCATTATTCTCTAAATTTTGTGACAAAAATCCTCTTGCAATCCATCCTGCCAACTTAGATTTCTTCATTTTGTTTTCATTTTCTTTAGTCGATTGCTGCATGAATGTAATTGTTCTAGACATGGGCTCTAAAGATCAAGTTTCATTTGAGTTGCTCTTAGATTCGCTTGTATTGACCGAGTCATGGGGGCAGCCAGGTACCTATCTCTGGAAGCAATCAACTCTATCTCCTCGTATCTTCAACACTGTCCATAGAAAACCACAGTAGGTTCCTCACGCTCTTCCTCGTTTCTCTTTGAATTAATTTGTAGCTAGAATACTTTGTGCAAACACGACAAAGCGTCTGTTAGGAAGATGACTTATTTGGATAGTACTTTAAGAAAATCTTTGAGAGTTTGAAGAGGTTGGAGAATGAATGCATATTGTATTATCTCTAAATTGGCTTATTGATTTGTTACAAATGACAAGTGAGCACCTCTATTTACGAGTAATGATATTTAGTACAATTGTTGTTATAATATTAGTCTAGTGTTGCTAATGTGGCATTAAATCAGAAGTGCAATTAAATGAGTGACTTAATTTCACATTTCATTGAGCCTATCACATTTCACCACCTATATTGGATGGTGCTAGATAACATCATTCCTATTTATTGCACTTAATGAACTTCTTTATATATCACCCAACTACCAAAATAATTGTATCTTTCAACTATGTTAAGTCCAAATTATAATTGGTAATTTCTAAATTTGTAATTGGCAATTTGTTTAGTCAAAATCATGTCCTAATTGAATTGTATTAGGAGTTTATCAAGTTGGAATCAAAGTCAAAATATGAGTTATTAAATCCTACTTATAGTAAAATGGTTGGATTGGTAGTATATGTCTTGAAGGAGTTCAAGGTGTCCAAGAAGATCACATATGATCATTGGAATGCAATTAGAAGTTAAAGAAGTGTAGAAGTGTTACGCAAATCATGCTCCAGATTCTCAGTTACAAGTTGCAATGCATTTTTCAAATTATTGAATTTGGACAAAACTATTTCTAGAAGAATTGTAGTTCATTGAGTTATCTTTCCAATACATTTTGAATCACTTCAATCGGATATCGGGAGAGAAAGTTATTATGAAAATACTGATGATTGCTCAACAGCCACTGGCCTTCCGCTCAAGCGACTTGGTTATCGAAGGAACAGTAACATTAGATTTTCAAGCTTATTTTGAGTTCTTTTTCATCCCAAACACTACCCAATATAAATATACACCCTATGTGATGTCCAATAATGTGATGAATCATATTTTTCTATAGAGATCATTCATTTGAAGATCCAAAACATATTCATTGATTAAAAGATTCAACTACCATATTATGAAATTCATTCAAACTTTGATTTGTTGATCAAGCCATATTGTTTCATATTAAACCACAAATCAAAACACATAAAATTCGTTTGATCAAACACCAACCCGAAGAACGAGGAGTTCTTCATTTAATCCACCGGAGATAAATGGATACCAAAGATTGGGAGCTGTTGCAGAAGCACAAATTCGGGAAGACTAATGTGAGGTACCAAAAGTCGAGATCTGGCATCAGGAACACGCAGTCCAGGAGGGCTAAGATATAATTCAGGAGTCGAAATTTGTTTTGAAGAAGCACACCTCCACTAGGATCAAAGGAGACCGTATGAATTAAGGTCAGAAGTTCTACGGGATAGACGGATCTAGACTGTACCGTATGTTTGCTTCGATTTATAGTATATTATTGAATCACAAAGTGCCCGAAATGTTTACCCAATTGGGGTTTATCCGTGATCAATTTTGTGTTCTTTATTGCTCATATTACAAATTGTGGTAATTTAATATAGGATGAATGGACGTGAATGATTAATCATCTACAAATAATGAAAAAGTGACTTGCTGCTTTTAATTGTATAATTTTACATGTTGGGTCTAAATATTCGACCAATTTAAAACTTTCAAACTACATACTGACATTTATCAAATACTTTCTAATACAAGATGATATTAGATAATAGATAATTCTAGATCATGACTTGGTGTAGAATATGGACTTTTCTCGATATGGGCTTATGGACTCACTTAACTACAAAAATTAATAGTGGAAATTACATTAAACCAGCTATTTAGTTTTGATTTTTAAAAAATCAGGTTTTTACTTTATTTAATCGAAAATCAGGTTTTAATTTCACAATTAATATTAATAACAATATTTTTAAATTAAATTAAATATATACCTACCTCCACCAACTTTATTTAAATATAAAACCCTAATTCATCTCATTTCATCTCTCCCATCTCTCACCG